TATATATATATATATATATATTGTGGGGAACCCCAGGGGTACACATGCATCTTCAACACAGACTGATATAAATAAGCAGTTTTTTATTTCATCCAGCGGTAACAGAACAAACAGATTTCTTCAGCAAAACGGTAAAGTAAAAGGCTTTCCTCAGCAAACATCAAACATAAAGATAAAGTCCTTCAATAAGGTTTGCACTGCGTAGTGCGTTTAGGTGATCTCACCAAGATAGAGTCCACTTGCTTCTGAGCAGCCACACACACCCAGACCTTTCTGTCTGTCTCTCAGCTTCCCCACTCCTCTCTCCTGTGTTACCTTTTAACAGGAAGGGCTGTAGGGGAAGTACCTGCCCTCCCAAGTTAACCCCTTCTTTGCTCTCAGCCCTGCTGACACTCCACAATATACACATCTTCATTACCAGCCTGTTTTTCCGTTTTCAGCACTGTGATATTTTTACTGCCAATGACGTGGTCATGCAACACTGTACTATGAATTGTATACCAGTTTTTTGAGACAGATTGTACTTTTTTTTTTTTTTCTACTATAAAATAAAGACCAAAAAATTATGATTTAATTTTTCCATTAATGCTCAAATAGAAATACCATGACAGTACAAAACCCACCCAAATAACCTCTTTAAGGAAGACATCCCAATGTGATCCCATTTTTTTGCTACAATTTTTCGGAAATAAAAAAACATGCTGGTATTTAGGGGGTAAAAATCATCTTACATTCTACATCATCATACATGACTAGTGCTGTCATCATGAAGTCTAAGTCCTATATCAACATTAAAATGAAGCCTGATGCTTGCTTACCTTCGGCTTAGGATTCAAGGTTGGGCATTGTGACGTCAACAACACCATTGAGCCACATCGAACCAGTCTGTTTTAAGCAAGGCCTCCTTGCAGATGCACTGATCCACTTATGGTGAAAGCCCTTAGTGGCTTTTTAGATGCACTTATCCTATCCTATGGTTTGTCCATACAGAGCAAAGCAACAGGCTCACTTTTCCTCACTTTCCTTCGCCTTCCCCTGACTCCGTTCAACCACTAGCAGAATACCTTCAGTACCTCCGGGTATGGATGATCATGTAACTCGTTCTACTTCCTCTCAGTTGACAGCTTTGGCGATAGGTCCAGCTCCACGGTGGGGCAGGGAAAGCGTAGCACTGCGTAAGCTCCAAGTAGCAGAGCTAAACTTACACAGAGCTTCTTTTTCTTGCTCCCAATGGCTGTACTACATGCAGCAAGTCTGATGCATGGCTACATAACAATTGTCCTCTTACATGCTTTAAAAAAAAAAAAAAGGGTTGCGACAAGTCTTTCATAACTATTATGTCTGCTTTTTGTCTTTTTCCAGAATAATCTACAAGTGCTCAATGTGTGACACCGTCTTTACCATGCAGCCTCTGCTCTATCGGCACTTTGACCAACATCTCGAGCACCAGAAAGTGTCCGTGTTCAAGTGTCCGGACTGCTCTCTATTGTATGCACAGAAGCAGCTAATGATGGACCACATTAAGGTAAGAAGAGTCCTTTGTATGATCCGTATGGGAAAATGTATCGCCCCTCTTTTTCCACCAGCTTCTCAGAACAGTGACAGTCTTGGTCAACTTTTCCTGATGGTATCTGCTTAGATATATGTACAAGATAGAGCAGGGCAATAACATGACAGCATGGGGCTCCAAGCAATTCCAAGGCATCAAGTGCAGTCATTTTATTCTTCAACTCCAGAAAATATTGCCACTGTTCTAAAATCAGACTGCTTATTTTGTCTATTTCCATGATGTTTTGAGGTCTTTGAGTGACTTTTGCCACCCTCTTACCAGTTCTTCTGTGCAGTGCACGCTTCCCCGCAGTGCAGGTATAGAGAGCGATGTGATTTGGTCATGCGTTTGGTTTTCTGTTTAACGTTTGGATAAAGTGTTCCCGCTGTGCTGCTGGTTTGCATTTAGTTATCTAGCAACATGGTCACTTTAAAGAGCAGTTAGGATGGTTCTCACTGCCAGTGCTACATCCAGACCTGTAAACAGCCCCAGCCCAGCTCCCAGGAATGTGAATGGTGCTCAGTGGTTGGCACGTCTGCCGTGCAGAAATCCTCAGATCAGATTGAATCCCAACCAGGACACTACCTGCATGGAGTTTGCATGTTCTCCCTGTGTTTTGTATGGGTTCCTTCCGGACTCCTTTCACACTCCAAAGACATGCTGGGACATTAGTTGGTTCCTGTCTACATTAAATTGGCCCCACTATGTGTGTACGTGTATAAAACATATAAATAAAATTTTAATGATTTTTGATTGATATATACATATATATCAATCAATCTCAATCAATCTATTAGTCATGGCCAAAAATCACTGATGTTTTGGGGTTGCTTTGCTGCTTCAGGCACTGGATGTCTTGACTGTGTGCATGTCATTATGAAATCTGAAGACAGTGTCAGAAAGTTGGGTCTTTGTCAGAGGTCATGGGTCTTACAGCAGGACAATGACCCACAGCACATGTCAAAAAGAACCCAGAAATGGTTTCAGACAAAGCTCTGGAAAGTACTGGACTGACCAGCAATGAGTCCAGATCTGAATCCCATAGAGCTCCTGTGGAGAGATCTCAATACAGCAGTTGGGAAAATGAATCCTTCCAATCTGAGAGATCGGGAGCAGTTGGGGAAAGAAGAGTGCTCAAAAATTCCTGTAGAGAGGTGTAAAACGCATTAATGGTCTCAGGAAGCCATTGATTTCAGTTATTTTTTTCCAAGGGCAGTGCTACCAAATATTAATTGAGGGTTCCAATAATTTTGTCCAGTCCATTTTTGTAGTTTTCCATGGAATGTGTCAGATTTGGCTTTTTTTTTCTCCACTTTTTTGTGTCATACCAATACAAACAAAAGAAATAAACATGAGAATGCCGAAACATTTATAATTGCAACAATTTTCTGCGCAAAGTGGTGCATTATCTGACAGAAATGCAGGGGTGCCAATATTTTTGGCCATGACTGTATATACTTCTGAGGAAGGGACCTGAGATTGTAAGCTCATTGAGGGCAGGGACTGATGAGATTGAATAGTTTGTGGAATGCTGCGTAAATTGATCGAGCTTTATAAATTCTTGTATTAAATACATAATAAATGTATTTATTACAGGTATTTATATAGCGCCGACAATTTAAGCACCACTTTACATGCTGCACATTCACATCAGTCCCTGCCCTCAAGGAGCTTATAATCTAAGTTTCCCATCTCACACGCATACATACAGGGCCAACTTAGAAAGGAGCCAATTAACCTTCCAGCATGTCTTTGGCGTGTGGGAGGAAACCGGAGTACCCGGAGGAAACCCACGCAAGCACAGGGAGAACATAATATTATACTATTTTTTTTAGATAATAAACTGGTTTCACTTGTGTATAGGGGACCAATCTATTTTTAAAACGTTCACCAGTAATTACTTTTGTCCTGTCATGGCCTATGTCAGTCCGGTGCTTGGTGTAGTCCAGGATTCATTTTTGGAAGCTCAGGGAGGTTCTCATGCCTGTTGAAATTTTAATATCTGATAGCAGGATAAAGTTTTAGTAAAAATTGAGACCTTAGAAGAGGCTAGGTGAAACATTGCATCCCTAGCATTCCTATCAGGGACGTGTGGTCAGGAGAGGCAGGTGAGGCAGAGCCTCACATAGTTTGAAGGAGGAAAAAGCTGTCAGCTTCAAGTCTGAAGCTGACAGCTTTTTCTCCATTCAGAGCGGCTTCTAGCAGGTTACACAGCAGGGAAAGCCTCCCCACTGTGTAACCTGTCATGGAACAGAGCGCTGCCTGTTAATTACAGCCAGCGCTGCATCCGGCTTTTGACGGGTAGTTAGGTTACACAGCAGCGGGCTTCCCCACTAGTGAGGCAAGAGCTGTCACAGCCTATACTCTGTGTTAGAGGCGTGAGCTCCTTGGATGGCTTGGACCAATGGCAAAGCACCATTAATCCAAGCTGTCCATTCAAAAAAAGAAAAAAAAAGTCACTGAGGCCATCAATCTCGATGCCTCAGCAGTGATGAGCAAGTGAGAGACAGGGAGGCTCCTCCTTTGTCGGATCCCTTCCTCCTCCCTCCCTCCTTCACACTAGCTTGGGGACTGCGTTGGGAGGCGGGGCTTCGGCGGGTGGGACGTGCTGGGGACGAGGCTGGGGCATGCCTCACCCTGAACGAAAGGTACCGCACCTCACTTATTCCTATATAGCCAAATTATCACTCAATGCAGTACACCTAAATAAAAAAAAAAGCAGAGGACGCATCACTGAGACTTGAAGCTCCACTTTTACAGGAAAAGTGAAGAGTTGCATACAACTTTAGCTGTCACTATTCCTGGATCTACTGATCATTTTGACGCACGGTATATCCCTGAAGGTAGCCCCTGCTGATGTATTTTTGATCTTGTGCTCCTTAAGAATTGCCAAGGTTTGTGTCAGTTGTTGATTTAGGAATCATTTATCTTAATCTGCCATATTATCCAACAATTCTTTATTATTTCCTATAGTCTATGCACGGGACTCTGAAGAGTATTGATGGCCCTCCAAAGGTGGGCGCCAACTTACCTCTGAGCACCAAACCCACTACCCAGAATTCCACCAGCCCCAGCAAGGAGGAGACCAAGCCTGTTAATGGCACGGAGAAGACGGAGAAGAAAGCGGCAGCCTCGGAGAAGAAGACTTCTAGCCAGCTGATCAACAAACTCCCCAACCCAGGATGGACCTGCTGGGAATGTGACAAGAACTTCAACCAGAGGGAACTGTACATTGCACACATGAAGAAGGAGCATGGAAAGGTAAGGCACACTGCATAGGTGATATTCTTCGTTTACACTGCTTTGTATTATAAACATCTCTATCAGCACTTCATTAAATACCGCTAAATGTTAATATGATCTTATCAAGCCGAACTCTAGCCTTACTTTTAGTTTTGCACAGCTCTACAGGGTCTTCCTCTGTACTAAAATTATTTTATTACACATTGTGAACCAGAGCCCGCCTTATTTCCGGGCTAAAGGACAGTCATCATCTAGCTCTTTCTTCTCCAGCCTTACTGTCTCTGGCTCGCCCCTTCTATTAATTGGATTTCAGTTTCATCAATCATGGAGGGTCAGCTTTATATGTGGGTGTTCAGGGGCGGACTGACCATTCGGGCAGTCGGGCACTGCCCGAGGGTCCACGGCCAATAGGGGGCCCCATCAAGTCAGCAGGGGGGACTCAGAGCTGTGCAATTTGTTTCACCCAGCGCCCGGGACATTCAGCTCCAGGCGCTGGCCAGGTGATTTTCTTCACTACATTGATACAAGCAGCAGGGTTAAAGTTTTGTTCGGTTTGTTGTTTTCCCCACCTAAACGGAGTGGCGAGGAAGTGTCAGGCAATTCTGCTGGCAGCTCTCAGAGGAGCCCCCGAGTCCCGTCAACAGGGAGCTGGGTCCCTGTCACCCCCTCCCTCAGAGGTAGCAGAGGCTGTCTTAACCCCTTCAACTCTGCTATGTTATCAGCTGCTCTGCAGGACTTCAGCCACCCCATTCTTCAGCTGTAATAACCAAATACAGAGTTGGACCAGTGGGGTGCCTTTTGAAATCCAAAGGTCACGGTAAGGAAACAATCTGTTACCCACAAAGTTCTGCAGACAAAGACAAAGTAAACCATTGCTGCTTTTCTGGGAAAACATGTACAAAATCACAGAGCATTCCTCTTACAGCTACTGGGAAGAATTCTGAGGATGGGAATGTCATAGTAGGCAATGCGAGGAATAGAGATGTAATTTTTTGGTGTATAAAGATCACTTCTCTAGAATAGCAGATCCTTCAGCATTCCATGTAAACTATCCTCTATAGTTACAATAGAAAATGCCGTACTGTTTAATGGCAAATAGGGATGCACAGATATTTTTCGAGTACCAGTGCCGATACTTGGCATTTTCATGAGAACTACCAGGGTTGCACGGTTGCAGCTTGGACCTGGCTCTGGCTCTCCATCACTGTCCTGAAATCATTAGTCTGTATTGTTTTAGAAAAACTGTCACATGACAATAAACAAAAATGTATCAGTACTCGTACTCGCAAAACTGGTATCTGTGCATCACTTTATTTATATTTATAAAAACAAAATCATACATTAAAACAGAGATGTACAAATCCCAGGAGCTCCGTGTGCTCCTTACAAATGACAGCCGCCTCCTAATTTTTTAATTTTTCTCTAGTCTAGTCTTGGAGCTCAAAAGTATCGGTACCTGTACTTGTACCGAGTACTGTATTTGGTATCTGTGCAACCCTAATGGAAAACGTAAAGCAAATTCTAGGTAAACTAATATTTGGTGTGCTCGCAGTTGTGACACAGAAACCATGTGGCATTGTTCTACTTAGTGCTTTTTTTCTGGGCACCTTTTTGCCCTCAAAAAGCATGCAGCGGTCATCTTAGTTGTGGGCAGGGCCGCAGTGCATCCCCGCTGCCACAACCAAGATGCCCACCGACAATAAACCTCAATGCCAGCAGCCATTTTGGTTGTGGTAGCGGGGACGCACGGAGTATGCACAAGATGACCAGCGGCAATGAGGGTGGTAACGCTTGCCGCGAGGGCGCCTTTTTGAAAACATTTTTTGCAGTTCTATATTTTCACCAAAAAAATGAAAGGGCTACCAGTACGTGCCGGTACTGAGTACCAGTGTGTGCCACCAGGAAAAAAGCCCTAGTTCTATTACTATGACCCAGATCACTTGTATCAGTCTGCTCCCCTCTCCCCGCTGTGGTTTTTAGGGTCCCCTACTTGTCCTTGGATAAGTAGTTTTTTGTTTTTTTAATGTATAGCTTGTATGTGGGGGGAGCACACAGGGGGCCCCTTACCCTCTTATTGTCCGGGGGCCCCATGTGTTGTCAGTCCGCCCCTGTGGGTGTTAGGGAGAGGGAGACAGCCTGGAAAGAACGAGGAGAGACAGCGCGCGAGGAGAGACAGCAAGCACAGCCACGAAAGAGCAAGGAGAGACAGCCAGGAGAGAGAGTGAGCAAAACTTCTGCCTAAAGCAGAACCTCTGTACCCTCCAAGACTTATCTGCGCGCTGTGTTTCAGACACCTCCTTGCTCCCTGAGTTCCAGTGCCCCTCCCTGTCCTGTGCCTCCACCATGCACTCATGTTGGAACACCAGGACCCCATGGTTGCCCGCCTGACATTGTGACATCTTGTGTCCGGGTTTCAGCTGGCCTGAAACCCAGACACAGCAAAAACAGGACTCAAAACCCAGACTGTCTTGGTAAACC